ATTTCGGCGGTGTGCCTCCACCGAGGGAAAGACGATGCCGACCTCGGTGGTGGTGGCAGTGTTCTGGCTTCCAGGGTGGCCGAAACGTTACCACCAACACCGGAATCTGGGATCCTCTGCCCCCTCTGGAGGCGCAACCCCCCGTGCTGGTGTTGGAGGAGGAGGAGGAGGAGGAGGAGGAGGAGGAGGAGGAGGAGGAGGAGGAGGAGAGGAGGAGGAGGAGGAAGGGGAGGAGGAGGGGAGGAGGAGGAGGAGGAGGAGGAGGAGGAGGAGGAGGAGGAGGAGGAGGAGGAGGAGGAGGAGGAGGAGGAGGAGGAGGATTTCCAGGCCTCCAGCCTCCCACTGCTCTCCTCGGCCCGCGGGGGGCCCCCCCCGCTGCGTCGTCGCCGCGGCCGGGGCGAGGCCGGGGCGGGGTCGGATAGGGCGCGCTCCGGGCGGGCTCGCGGGCCCAGGCCGCGGAGGGAGGAGCACTTCGGGGGAGAAAAAGATACGGATACGTGTTGTCCCCCTTCGTTTTCGGCCTTTCCTGGTCCTCCTGGGGAATCCTCGTTGCCACCACTGGATTCGCGTAGAAATTTTGGTCAGAACGCACCCCAGGAGAGGTCCGGGGACCACACGTATCCGTATCTTTCCGCCCCCCAACGGAGCACCCCCGTCCCGGCTCCTCGGTGTGTGCTGCAGGCCTGCGGGGGCCCCGGGCTCTCTGGGCTTCGCCGCGCCTGCCTCGGGGGCGGCAAAGAGGGGGGCGATGACGAGGGGGGGGGGATCTCATGGCGTGGGCCATGGTATTTCCCCTGATTTCATGGCGCCTCTTCTTATTTCATCACGTCCCTGGCCCCCCCGCTGGGCCGCGCACATGCCGCCGGTCATGATCTGCACCCCCCCCTCTTGGGCACCCCCCTCTTGGCCGCTCCCGACTCCCAGATAGGGGTCCGAGCCGGTGGGGTCGGAGGGCTGCGCCGCATCGCCAATGCATCGGCGATGCGGCTCGATGTCGAGTCCGACTTTTTTCTCCACGCCGACGGCGCCGATGCGTCGGCGACGTCTCGCCGGCGCCTTGGCGACGTGGTGCGATCCTCCGACCCCGTCCACTCGGACCTCATCTGGGAGACCTCCGTAGAGAGTCCGCTCACCTCGGGCCTGCCGGCGGCGGGCGCCGCCGAGGGCCCCCCGTCCTCGTGGGCGGCGGGATCTTTACGCGCGCCGCCCCTGGCCAGGCCCACCCTCGGCCCACGGGAGGTGCATGCGCCCCCCGCGTGGTTGCGTTGCAACGCTGGCCCGGGGCCCCTAGGAGGTGTCCTGGCCAGGGGCGGCGGTCACGTGCGGACCTGGCCGCCCTGCGGCCGCCCTCCTCGGGGGTCCCCTCAGGTGCCGGGGTGGCCGGCGCGGGCGGGGGCGCGGCCGCGCCGGAGGGCCGCCCGTCGGCTGCGGGCCCGCCCTTCCGCTGCGAGGACCGGGCGAAGATCCCGGAGGAGCTGCTCCAGGGGCCATTCCAGGAGCAGTACTAAAACGACGCGAAGATCGGGACAAAATCGGATCGGGATAACTCGAAATCTCTGAGAATCGGCGGGTTTGGAGGATGTATTGGGCGCCGCGGCCGCTCCAGAGCGTTCCGGAACGCTCTGAGAGCGCTCCGGAACGCTCTGGAGCGATTTATCCCGATCCTAACCTTGTTTTAAGTACGGTAGAGGGAAACAATTAGTGAACACCCCCCCTGCCCCCCAAACTCAAGGTTGGCACGCGTGGGGGAGACTGCGGCCGAGGTACAACTCATCAGACCCACCGCCAACTTTGAACATTGGGGGGAGGGGGAGGCGTTCACAGATGAATGTGACAGGAGTGTTCGCTATACGTCGGCACCACCCAAACTCGAGCCAGCCGGAGGTCTGAGATGGCCCAGCACGTGGCCAAGAGGCAAGGGGGGCGGGGTTCGAGGCGCTGGGTTCAGGACTTTTTTTTCGGTCTCCGGGGGCCGTTTGCAGGTCCCGGGCCGGGGACCGTGAAAACGGATTCAGGGTGAAAAGCTGCGCCAGATGGACCCTGGGAGTGGTCTGGGGGCCGATTTTGAGCGGATGTGCGCGTATCCCCCTTTCTTGACAGATTGTGAAGGCCTAACGGCCTGTGCCGCCGACGCAGAAGGACGACGACGACGACGACGACGACGACGACGACGACGACGACGACGACGACGACGACGACGACGACGACGACGACGACGGACGACGACGACGACGACGACGACGACGACGACGAGCTGCCAGAGGCTGGGGACATGGGGCGGGCGGTGGACCTAGGAGGAGGAGGAGGCTGAGGAGGCTGAGGAGGCTGAGGAGAAGGAGGAGGAGGTCACGCGTAACACTTTTCGTTTTCACTTTTCGGCGAACTCTCATAGACCTTATTTCGGCTGTCTTGGGCTGTCCCGGGCGCAGTCTTGGGGCGCCCTTTGGGCCTTCTTTGGCCTTCTCGGGGCCGTCTTGGGGCTCTCTTGTGGCCCTCGCGGCCGTGTGAGGTGTTTCTTGGGGCCGTCGTGAGGCTGATTGCGCCGTCCAGGGGTCATTTTAGGCCCTCTCGGGTCCCTCCCATGTGCCGGTTTCAGGCCTCATCTACTGCTACTATAATTACAGCGATAGCAAGTACTATTACTACTACCACCACCACCACTACTATTACTACTACTATTACTACTACCACGACTGTTACAACCATCACTAGTACCACAACGACTTGTAGTCATACTACTACTACTACTACTACTACTACTACTACTACGTCTACTGCTACTACTATTTTTACTACTAGTAGTAGTAGTAGTAGTAGTAGTAGTAGTAGTAGTCGTAGTAGTAGTAGTAGTAGTAGTAGTAGTAGTAGTAGTAGTAGTAGTAGTAGTAGTAGTAGTAGTAGTAGTAGTAGTAGTAGTAGTAGTAGTAGTAGTAGTAGTAGTAGTAGTAGTAGTAGTATTACTACTACTGTACTGCTACTACTACTACACTACTAGTACTACTACTACACGGGGGGTACTATAGTTTTGACCATAAGACGTCATGCTGTCGACGCCCCCTGCCCCCCCGTAGAATCTTAGCGACATGTTTTGGGTCGGGCGGCGGTTCGACTCCGATGGGCTCTCACCCTGTAAGAATATAATAATATATATTTAAAACAGGGTGATAATTACTCCGTCCCATTTACAATAGGGCCGGAAAACACTCCGACTTGAACCCATTCACAGTAAACCACTCCGCTTGGGTCACGTTTGATCGTCCGTGTCATCATCCCCATCGACCCTGTCCTTATCATGCCAACGCGATGTTTCATTGTATTCCTTGTTGCATTGATGCTGTGAGACCCTGGGCATCCTTCTCCAATGCGGTCGCTCTCGGTTCACTGGTTGGCCGTCCCAGAGGGCCCACAAAGGCTCGCGAATCCGCATCAAGGCACCTTTGCATCCTGATCGGTCCTCCGCGGCACGCGTGACCAGCGAGGCAATTGTCATCTTATGGTCAAAAACTTTAGTACCCCCGAAGTACTACTACTACTACTACTACTACTACTACTACCACTACTACTACTACTACTACTACTACTACTACTACTACTACTACTACTACTACTAGTATTACTACTACTACAACTACAACTACAACTACAAGTACAATTACTACTACTACTACTACTACTACTTTTACTATTACTATTACTACGTACTACCTACTACCTACTACCTACTACCTACTACCTACTACCTACTACCTACTACCTACTACCTATTCCCCACTACCTACTACCTACTATTTACTACCTACTACCTACTACCTACTACCTACTACCTACTACCTACTACTACTACTACTATTGTTATTACTACTACTACTACCACTACTACTACCAGTAGTACTACTACTGCAACTACTCCGAGTACCCTTCGTACTACTACTACTACTGCTACTACCACCTACTACTACTACTGCTACTACTACAACTACTACGGGTATTACGACTCTTATCTTTCTTACTACAATTTCTTCTATTATTACTTGTACTGCTACTACTACTACTACTACTATTACTACTACTACTACAAGTACTGCCGCTGCTACTTTCACTAATACTACGTCGACGACTACTGCTACTACTACTACTGTTACTATTACCATTACTACTACTACTACTACTACTACTACTACTACTACTACTATTGCTACTGCTACTGCTACTACTACTACTACTATTACTAATACTACCACTAGTACTACTAGTACAACAACAACTACCACCGCCACTACGATTTTAACCATTACTATTTTGTACTGTTACTACTATCACGACTTCTACTCCCGGTGCTACGATTACTATCATTAGTATTGTTATTGCGGCTGCTAGTTCTACTAATACTCTTACTGCCAGCAGTACTGCCACTACTACTAATGCTACTTCCACTACTACTACTGCTGCGGCCACGACCACTACTACTACTACTAATACTACTACTACTACTACCACTACTACTACTACTACTACTACTACTATTACTACTACTACTACTAATGCTGCTACTACTGCTACTACTACTACTACCACTACTACTATTACTACTACTACTACTACTACTACCACTACTACTACTACTACTTCTATTACTACTACTACTATTACTACTACCACTACTACCACTACTACTTAACTACGGCTGCTGCCACTACTTCTACTTCTACTACTATCACTACTTGTTTACTACTTGTACTGCTGCTGCTACTAATACTACTACCTTTGTTATGGACTTCACACTACTATTTGTACGATTGCTACTACTAGTATTAGTACTGCGACTACTACAACTACTATTTTTCCTCGGCGAGGACGAGGACGACGACGACCACGACGTTGTTCCGACTATTATCATTATTATTATCACTGCTAGTATTAGTACTACGACTACTACTATCACCACTACGACTAATACTACAAGAACTTCAACAACTACAACTACAATAAGCACTACTACTACTACTACTACTGCTACTGCTACTGCTACTACTACAACTACTATTTGCATGACTGTTAGTATCATTTTCACAGCTACTACTACTACTACTACTACCACTACTACTACTACTACTACTACTACTACTACTACTACTACTACTACTACTACTACTACTACTACTACTACGACTACTACTACTATTCCTACTACTACTACCACTACAACAAATGCTACTACTATTATCACTATACGACGACCCTCGACAAAGTTCAGTTCACACATGTGTCACGTATTTAATGGTAGGATCGCGTCGCGTCGACGCGGCAGCGTCCCCAGCGCGGGCGTTCAAAGTTGTACGACGCCGGTGGTTTGGAGTCGGCTCGAAAAGCTGTTACCGTCTAAAGCTGAGGAATCCACGCGGTGCCAGAGGCCAGCGCGCAAGTCGTCAGACAAAGAACGTACGGTATTTGCGCATGTGATTGCCTGGGATGGGATGTCAACGAGTGCGCAGTATTTGTTGCCGCTCCCTTCCAATGTCGGTCAGGATGGAACTGCCGAGTCGCACCCCCCCAAAGCATGCGTCGGCTTCCTTCGACATTGAAGGGGGCGACATTGAAGGGGGGCTCAAGGCGTTTTTGAGTTAATTTTGTCGAGGGTTGTAGGACTCAGACTCGTACTATCAGCTGGGACCATCCCCCGGGACCACCCCCCAGGACGCCCCCCCGCTCGGGATCTCCCTCCTTCGGCGGGGAGGGGACAGAGGGAAGGGGCTTCCCTTCGACGTGATTGCGACACTTTTCGATCCCCCTTGCTTGTTCGATCTCCACTGCGACGACGACAACTCCAGGGAGGCCGGCGTGCTTCAGTCTGGGTGGTTGGGCTGGCCTCGCGTCGGAGGGCCTCTCACGCGCGCCGACTTGGTCGGCGGTTCTCCTCGGGTCCTCTAAAGGCCTGGCCCGAACATTGGGCGCCCCCGAATGAGTTCGTCGTGATCTTTGCGCGGGCCCCGCGCGGGGTTTGCGCGATGGGTTATTTCGCGACTGAATATGATGCCCCCGACGGGCCCTCGGCCAGCTCGGAGCTCCTGGCCGCCTCCAAGCCCAAGCGTTACGATGTGTCCGTCGGCCCTCCCGGGGCGGCGTGCGCGCTCTGGAATCTAATCCTGTGTACAGTGCCGTTTTTTTATACATGCTCCGCGTGCGGATCATGTAGTAAAAATGCAGGGATTTAGCATTAAAAACAACGATGAGTTCATGCATGCATTTATTCATAAACTAATCATGTATTAAAAATCCCATCTTTTTAAACATCCAATGTATTAAACACTGCCCTGTATGCTCGGTGGCTAGCGCTCACTGGCCATGCCGCCGGGGCCACGGTGTACTCGAGGCGTTCGTGTTGTGTGCTCGGTGTGGACGTGCGCCTCCAAGGGGGGCGCGCAGCACCAGCTCTTGCCTATTTTGAACAGGACTCGCTGTCTGCGCCGCGAGGGACGCAGTCCACTTGGGACAAGAAGTCGCCTGCCCAACAGCGCCCGCCGAAAGTTTCGGACAAGCTTTGCTGTTGGGCGTCGTTCATTTTGCTCCGTACCCGCGCCGGGCGTGCGAGCAGGAGCTCGAGCTCTCCGAGGACGTCTATTCGACGGCGTACCTCATAGCTAGGAATGCCACGGAAGACATGTACAGCATTTGGCCCTGGGCGAACCGACAGGTGATCGTCGTCTGGCTGTACATGATCTTCATCGTGGGTTCCCAGCTGTTTGCGATCGCAGCGATCACATTGTGGTACCCGCTCAGCGTGCAGACCGAGCGTGCTATTGTGGACTGCGGCAACGCGACATCGCTGGCACCGCTGTTGGCGAGGGGGTTTAGAGATGCAGCAACAGGAAACGAATGCAGGCGTGCTGGAGAAATCGCTTTCTGGACAGACCTGCATGGCAGGCAGGTCGCCTACTATTCGTTGGAGATGACGACGCCGTTCCACAGGGCCGTTCTCATGAAGGGGGACTGCATGGTGCATATACTTCGCTTGGTATGCTGCGCTTGGGTGTTCTCTCAAATTTATTTTCAGCATTTTGTTCCAGTTCAATCTCTCATTGAGTACCACGACTTCAGTCGATGGTTCTTACCGTTGAAAGGGGCGGAAACGCGAAACAACTGGGCGGTGTGCGTAGCCTTCATTCAGTATTCCATCGTGCTAATTGACTTGACTGTGTCGTTTGTTGTCATTTGGTGGCTTTCGATCCATCCCGCCACCGTGCTTGGGCTGGGGGTCAGAGTCCTCTTGGATGCCTCTGAGTGTCTCTTGGGATACCTCTTGGGGGCCTCTTGGAGGTTTCTTGTGGCCTCATGTGCGACTCTTGGGGGCCTCTTGGGGGTCCTTTGGGGCCTCTTGGGGGTCTCTTGCATCCTCTTGGGAACGCCTCGGGTGCCTCTGGGGGGGCTCGTGGGGGCATGTTGAGGGTCTTGGCCTAGACTTTTGATCAGAAGTCACGTCCCTGCCTTGAACTATTATTATTATTATTCCGATTTTTCAATGCACAGAGCTCGCAGGGACCTGGACGCGATCCGCTCAGTGCCTGCGGCGCGGTGGCGGGTATTTGCCCAAGGAGAACCTTTTGACATCGTGATGAATTCCATGGCCTTCACTTTTATCGCAGAAGTTGGGAGGCTCTTCAACACACCCCTCGTCCAGCAGATGGCCTCCACCAAGATCAACGGATGCGCCTATGGCGACGTGTTCTATCTGTACCCTGTCTACGCGGAGTCAAATGCTGTGCAAGAGGATGGGACCTACACCGACGAGGGGTGGTACATATTGCAGGACGAGGAGCCGCAGACCTGCAGCGACGCACCACCACCAGACCTGGCTAGGGCTGGGCCAATCCCAGGTCCTGGACCGTTCTGTAGAGAGCCCCAGGGCCCAGTGCAGGAGGACCTTGCGCGCCAGTCCGAGGGCCAGGTTTGGTGGTGGTGTGCCGGTGCCGGCCTTCCCAAGGAGAAGGCCGGGATGCTCTCCGACTACAAGGTAAGGCACAACCCCTGCGTGTACCCTCGCCGCTCGGAGACCTTGGTGTCGGTCCTGTCTTGGGCGCTCGCGGTGGTGCCCGCTCTGGTGACGCTGCTGGCTGCGGCGTACTCGCGTCTGACAGAGCCAGCACGGCAAGGAATGCTGCCATAGCGCAGCAAAAGAAGTCCTCCCGCTGCTGCTGCTGCTGCTGCTGCTGCTGCTGCTGCTGCTTCTCCTTGCCTTCCTCATGCTGACTCCCCCCCTCCTCCTCCTCCTCCTCCTCCTCCGCCTCCTCCGCCTCCTCCTGCGAAGGCTGGCGCAACGGTCTGTGCAAACAGCGGCCAGTTGCTACCCTCTGACCTTCTCCGCGCCGGGGAGACAAAGCCGTGCTCCGCCGCGATTCTGCCCAGCCGGCCAGCTCAGCGGCCAGGGCGGCGCGCTCGCGAGGCCGGGCCGCCTCCGCCCCGAGCGCCGTGCGCAGCTGGCGCGCGGTGGCGGCGCGCAGCGCCACCGAGAGCTCCGCGCCCCCGCGGCGCGCGCGGGAGCCCGCCGCGGCAGCGGCAGCGGCCGCAGCGCCGCCGTCACCCGGCCAGGAACTGCGCGCGGTCCTGCGCCAGCCGCCGCGGGTGGCGCAGGGCGGCCAGGCCGTGGCGGCCGCCCACCTCCAGCACTATCCGTCACGGTGCGCGAGCGGCGGCAGGAGGAGGAGGAGGAGGAGGAGGAGGAGGAGGAGGAGGAGGAGGAGGAGGAGGAGGAGGAGGAGGAGGAGGAGGAGGGTGCCGGGCGTGCTCGTCGGCCACGGCGTCCCTGCAGACAGTGCCGTCCCGCGCCGCGGCAGCCCAGCGTCCCTCGGGCGTCGCCTGGCATTCCGCAGCGCGCCGTGATGTCGCGGAAGATCCGCGGGCCGTCGGCCCGCTGGATCTCCAGGTCGAGGATTGCTTCCTCCCGCCGCGCCGGCATCCCCTCTCGCAGAGCAAGTGCCAGCGGTCCCAGGCCGGCAACGGCATTTGGTGTGCTATAATTATGCGGTGGCCACATTCTGCGTGGATGCTCTCCCGCACCAGTTCGAGGACGCCGCTGCGCGCCTCGAGGCCGCCTCCGCGCGAGCACCGCCTTACTGTGGTGGGCCTTGGGGCAGAGCGTCTCCCCGCAGCGCCAGCCCGCTCCGAGGTGCGGGCGCAGTTCGAGCAGGTGGCCCCTAGCGGAGAGGCGTCCTGGCCCAGCAGGCAGCGGGCCGTGGAGCGGCAGTCAGCGTCGTCCAGGCGCTGCTGGGGCTCGCCAGGCGAGGCAGTCTGCCAGCCTGCTGCGTGCGGGCCTCCGCAGGAGCGGAGCAGCGCCCGGTTCTTCGCCGAATCCAGGGGGTCCAGCAAGGAGTTGTGGTTTCGATCCTTGCTTTTGGCGTCCCCTGGGATTTCTTCTGGACCTCGGCGGCGAGCTCGGCCCAAGCGGGCAGCCCGTCAGGGCCGTCCTCGCCCCAGCGGGGCGGCGGCGGCGGGAGCGTGGCGTGCCTTGCGAGGCTAGTTTGGCAGGCAGCGGCGAGCGGCAGCGGGCTGGCGTCCATGTCGTCCAGCGCCCTGGTTCGTTTTTCGTTTCGTTTTCTGTGGTTGCTCCGTTGGTTTTCCCACAAGTCTCAAACGTAACCCCGCCTCTCGCCCCAGTCCTGGCCTTGTGGCCTTCGCCGCAGCCCTGCTTCGTTTTGCTGTTTCATTTTTCGTTTTTTGATTTTGTTGTTTTGTTTGCGTCGAGCCCCAGTCAGAAACTCGCTCCTCGCGTCCGCCCTGGCACCAAACCCACTCCAATGCTGCCCCGTCCCCAGCCATCTTTCGATGCCATCGTTTCGTTTTCCGTTTTGTTTCCAATGTGGTTTGCGGAGTTCGTTTCGTTTTTCGTTTTGTTGTCTCGCTGAATGGCGGCATCGTTTCATTTCGTTTTCGTTTTGCACCCGTACCGCTTTAACTTTCGTTCAGAATTTTCGGATTCGTTTTGTTTTTGTTACAACGCAAACGCGTTTTGAACAGCGTTGTGCCAGGTCTTTGTACACATCGCACAGCACTTCGCAAGCAGCATGCTGCGTCCGGGTGCGCAGCGCTACCCAACCTCCGCCGCAGCTTGCTCCGCACATCCTCCACCATTCACTTCCCTCCACGCTGGGACGCGTGGAGTAAAAGCGGGCACGGGCACGCGATATGCGCATTGATGTGCAAATAGGTGGATCAACAACGGCGCGACACCCACTTGGCCATTCTCTACGCCAGGTGGCGCTTGTGAGATATCGGTCTGCGGTGGTTTCGGTCTCTTGTGGCACAGGGAACATGAGTCAGCACAGTGAAGTTACCCCGCGAGCAGAGATCCGGTCTTCCTTTTTTCTCCCGATCGCATGTACGAGAAGCTGTGCTAGCACTTGTATGCTGGCCTGTACACTCATCGCCGCAGAATTTCATCAGGCAGTATTATGCAGCATCATCGACCGTCTCGCGACAGAGGTGTCTTAAGTGGCTGGCAGCCTGACCACTCAAGTGGCCGACACTCTCATCGACCGTCTCGCGAAAGTGGTGTCTTAAGTGGTTGGCGGTCTTAAGTAGTTGTCTTAACAAGGTTTGCTAAACTCAAGGGATGGCGACATGCTACACGTTTATTTCATCGCTTCGCTCATTCCGCCGGCCCATATTGACTCGCCGCTTGGGGGCCGTGTTGGGTCCTCTTGGGGCCTCTGGGAGGCAGTTTTGAAGTCTCCTCGGGGCCGTGTTGGAGCCTCTTGGTGGGGGCCTCTTGGGGCTTCTTGATGCGCCTCTTGGGGCCTCTTGGGGGTCTCTTGGGGCCTCCTGGGGGCCTCTTGGGGCTGAAGGCTGCACTTTTCGGTTCCTGGTCTCCGTCTTGGGCCTCTCTTGGGGCCGTTTTGGGGCCATCTTGGGCCATCTTGGGCGCCTCTTGGGCTGTCTTCGGGCCATCTTGGGCCATCTTGGGCTGTCTTGTGGCCCTCTTGGAGGCTTCTTGGGCCGTCTTGGGGCGGTCTTGGGGGCCTCTGGGGCCGTCTTACATGCGAAAAATCTACGTTTTCCGACGGGAATGGGGCGATTTGGTTGTTGGGGCCCTCTTGGAGAGCCTTTCGAGGCTCTCCTGAGGCTTTTTCGCGGCGTCTGCGGCCGTCTGGAGGCTATCTGGGGGGTCTTGGACCGATCAATCGGCGACTCGGGGCCCTCTTGGACCGTCTTAGGGACTCTGGGGCCCTCTAGGAGCCCTCTGGGGCGCCTGACAGCCGCGCCCAGGGTACTTTTCGTCCGGGGTACTTTTCGTCCGGGGTACTTTTCGTCCGGGGGTCCCCAGGGGCCGCCACGCGCGCGCGAACTAGAAATATTGTTAACCTGTTACCGGAGATCTTAGCACGCCTCTGGCCCGTTGGGCCAGCGAATTGCAGCGTGGGCCTCATGCTCGGATCGGCGCTTTGTTCCCGTCTTTCAGATTGGCGCTCTCACCCCAGCGCGGGCCACTTTTCTGGATCCGAGTCTTGCTTGATTGTGGTCTCCCCCTCATTTCCCCTCCTCCGCCTTCCCCTGGTCATCCTTTCCCTCCGGTGCTTCCGCTTTAGTTCTTGCTGCTGCTGTTCGTCTTCATCCTTTTCCCTCCCCCTCATCCTCCTGCTCACCGGCCGCCTCCTCCTGTGCACGCAGCTCCCCTTGCTGTTCCGACTGCGCATGCGACGAAGTGGGTCGCAGGTCGGCTACGCCAAGTGTCTGCGGATACAGAAAACTCGGAGCCATTGGAGTGATGGGGGGGGAGGGATCTAGTGTCAGATGAGGCGCGTGCGCACCTAGCTTGCCCCTCTCCTCTCTCCTTGCTCCTTCTCCTCGCTCCTCCTCGCCTCTCGTTGCTCCTCGCTCCTGCTCCTTCTCCTCCTCCTCCCTCCTGCTCCTGCTCCTGCTCCCCCTCCTGCCGCCCTGGAGGTTTACAAGCTTGTGGCGCTGCAGTCCGCCTCGGGCTTCTACACCCACCCTGCGGACGCCGACGTCCAGGCCGCCCTCTCGACGGGGCACGCCGTCTTCCGCTGTCTGGCGGCCTGGCGGCGGTGTGGTGCGCGGCCAGCGATGGTTGCAGTGGTGTCGACGACCTCTTGCTCCGAGGAGGAGGGGGAGGAGGAGGAAGGTGGACGGATAGACTGATCGACGAATGGGATGCTGCTGCTGATGATGCATATGGATTTGATGCTGCTGCTGATGATGACGACGATGCTGATGGTGGTCGTGGTGATGATGAATCTGATGATGCTGTTGCTGATGATGATGCTGATGATGATGATGCTGATGATGATGATGCTGATGCTGATTATGATGATGACTTTGATGATGATGATGCTGATGATGCTGATTATGATGTTTATGCGGATGATGGTGATGATGCTGATGCTGATGCTGTTGCTGCTGCTACTGCTGATGCCGATGCTGCTGATATTGCTGCTACTGGTCATAACGGTTAGGAGGAGGTGGAGGAAGAGGATAGATGATGGCGACGAGGAGGCGGACTTGTGAGGACGAGTGATGAGGATCAGGAGGAGGAGGCCGAGGAGGCGGATGGGTGGGAGGAGGGGGTGGAGGAGGAGAAGGAGGGAGAAGGAGGAGGATTCAGTAATAGTAGTAGCAGTAGCAGTAGCACTGGCAGTAGCAGAAGCAGTAGCAGTAGCAGTGGAGCGTGGCCCTCGTAGTGGTAGTGGTGGGGCTAGGGGCGCAGGCCGCATGCCCCACCCCGAGCTGGCCGTGGTGCGCGGGGGCCCCGTCTCTGAAGATCGAGGGTCGATGCTTTCGGATTTGTTTGGCCTTTGGGGCGGCCACTGGTTCGGAAAACATGCCCCGGGCGGCGTCATGGAAGGGCTTGGGGTTTTGGGACCTCGATTTCGAGCAAAAGTTTGTCCGGGGACCCTTGCATCTTGGGCATCGGGAAAGCAGATAACGACGGGGGTTCTCTCTCCCGTTTTGGGCGCGCGGGAGGTTGTCTTCGGGCCGCAAGGCCATCGAAAAACGATGCGCGACGGAAGACAAGTCCCATTGGGAAGCCCGTGTCGCTGTTTGGCGCGGTGCTGGTTCATTCGGCCCTGCGCGCTGTGGAGTAGATACATGCGATAATCTGTTCTGCATCAAGAAATATAAGGGCACTTTTCGTCGATCTCTGAGCTTCTCGCGGCGCCCCAGAGCGTCTCCGGGGTTTGCCAGGGCCATGGGGGGTTTGAGAAGCCTCCGCGGGGCAGTGCTAGCAGGTCAATTTCTTATGTGACGCGCCACGGGTGAGTTGTGAACAG